CCCCTCGGTTCCCCGCCGCCGCCGCCGGCCACCAGCTCCTGGCCGCGGGGCAGCGCCCCCAGCCCCGCCTCCTGCACGCCGCGGGTGAAGCCCCCCTGCTCCTGCACCCCCGGGGCCACGCCGCCGCCCTCCGGCACCGCCGGGCTCAGCCCCCCGCCCTCCGGCACCCCCGGCGCCCCGCTCGCCCCCTGCCCCCGGATGGTGCACGCGGTGGCGGGCCCCGCCCCGGCCCCGCACGCTGGGGAAGCCCCCCCGCGCCGCGCCGCTAGAGCTCCGGAGCTCCGGCTCCGCCACCCCTTCCTCCCCTCCTGCCCCCCCGCCTCCTCCTGCCGCCGCCGCCGGGAACCCGGACGGCCCCCGACCCGCCTCCGGTCCCGCTCTTAAAGGCGCCGCCCCGCCGCTTTACGTAACGGCCGGGGTGAGGACGGACGGACAGACGGACAGATGGATGGATGGATGAGCAGCGGGGCGCGGGGATGGGCGCAGGGACAGACAGACTCACCCCGGAACAGCGCCAAGCCCCGGAACCGATCCGCTGCCCCGGGGACGCGGGCTGCCCCGCGCTGCTCAAATCTCTGCTCCCAGGTGAGTTGGAAGGGGCTGCTCCCCGTTCCCTCTGCCCCGGCCGCAGCAGGGCTACCGCAGCCCCRGCCCGGCCTCTCGGGACGCTTTGCACAGTTACCGCAGGGAGAGAGCCCTGCCAGGCGCGGGCAGGAGCTGCGGGAAGCGACGTGTTTCCAACAAGTAAATCATCCCCGGKGAAAGAGGAGGGACCAGAGCTGTGGCGGGACAGCCCACAAAGCTCGAGCTGGGCTCCTGGAGAAGCTGCCACTCACCCCAAATARTGCGTCTTCCCGGGATGTAGTGTTTGTAAAGCATGAGGCAAGACCGGCATGAAGGAGGGGGGAGGACGGCAGAGAGAATCTGAGCAGATTTAAAAACAGAGCCCCAAACCTGTATGACCTCACCTGAGCAGGCCTCTGGGGCTGAGCTCCTGCCCACCCAGAGCTTCCCAGGGCTCTAAGAAGTATCCATGTGTGCATCTACACCTTGGCTCAGGGGACCTCCAGGATGATGAGGGCCAGAGAGAGGGCAGAAGGTGCTGGCTTCCTGAGACACAGCCACCCACAGCCGGTCCAGCCACCTTCTCAGCAGCAGAGACGGGCAAAGCCATGGCCAGGGGGCAATCTGACATTTCATCCTTATCCCATTGTTCATTCCCACACCGCAGGCTTTTCAGAGTCAGTGCTGTGATGGAGAGGCAGGAGATGGCCATGAAAGGAGGGGGAGGCCTGGGAGCTTGCAGACATTGCTCCTCCACCTCGTTACCAGAGTCCTTGTCATGMGGCAGGACTCAGCTGAGCAGCACCGTAATTTGCTACTGCACATCAACAAGGTGGCAGTGGAACTGCCACATAGCAGCCCTGAGGGAGCAGGACAACAGCCTCCCTCCCACTGCCCAAGCCCACCCCCTGCCACAACAGCATGATGGTTTTGCAAGAAATCACAAGAGAAGTTGAGTGTTCAAGCTTCAAAATCTTTATTAAAGCAGACAGCAGGTAATCCAGAACCCCACAAGGGAAGCTGAGTGTTCAAGCTTCGTAAGTACTTTATTCAAGCACACAGCAGGTAATCCAGAAACAGTTTAGCACCCCACAGCAGTCAGATGCCAGCACTGAGCAAGGCGTTCCAACATCCCAGTAGTCATGGCTATGCTGCCTAGCCAGGAGACAAGCTTTGTCTTTTGTCTCTCTCTGCTGGCTGTAAAGCACAAGGTTAAGTCTGACATCAAGATGCATGCAAACACTACAGTGAGGACTCCCAGACAGCAGCTCTTAGATGCCATCCAGAGAAATGTCACTGGGAAACACTAACACAGAGAGGGCTGTAGGAAGTTAGAGAGTTAAGAGAAGTTAAGGAAGAACATCAAGTTGCACAAGCCTGGGCATCAGGTTTCTAAAGACTGATGAAAATCCAGCCCTCCAAGCTAGTGAGCACTAAGATCAGTAACTAGGCTGAGAGCTGRTCCTTGCCCATTCCTTGTGGAGCTCCAGTTGAACAATGTTCTTTCTCTCAAGGACTGCTGCGGGGGCTCAGGTCACTCGCTCAAGTTAGGTTTAAATGCCAGATCAAGCTACAGAGTTCAGGTTAAAACTAAGCTGCAATGCCAGATCAAACTGCAGAGCACAGGGCTGGCAGCAGGCAGCGCAGTTTAGGTGACACACATCAGCAGTGCTCAGCTTCAGGTCACACAGCTGAGTGGCACCATTAGAAAGCTGCCGCTAATGTTTCGCGCTCCACACAACACCCAAGGGACAAAGACTGGAATTTCTAGGCAGAACTGGAGAGTGAGCACTTCCCATGCACACACACCAGCACCCTCCCAGTGCCACAGCAGGCCAGCCTCTCAAAGTGCTGCCTGCACCCATCCAGAGCAGTGACCAGAGCCCTCAGGACAGCTGTCAGCCCCAAGCCCTACATTCACCTTTAATTCCTCAGGTCTTTGTAACTGATTTGAAGGAAGTTCACTACACCACAGAACACACAGTCTAACTAGCCTAGTTTCCACTAAACATTCAAGCACCACTCCCGTGATTGGGGGCAGGAGGCCAATTCAAGACAGCACAGCTATTTGAAACGGTTCAGCCTATGGAGAAGGAAGAGTCTGAGGATGTACATAACAGACGGAAGTTTGTATCTGCATCATCACAGGAGAGTGAAAAAATAGGACTGCAGGAAATTAATCCATGTTAGATACTAACCATCAAGCTTCGCAGATGACATTGCGTGATAAGCATAGAACAATTATGGGAAACACTGTCCCCGATAATTACGTACACCCATAGTGCAACATATGGAGATCACTGTCTCCGATATAACACTGTGGTAGGCAAAAACTACCTTGTTCTTTACCATTATGGGAGACACTGCCCCCGATAATGTCAGTTAGGTTTCATGATACATAAGGTACTGGAAGTTTGCAGGAAGCTGCCATTTAAAAATCGTGCCAAGGCCTAATCTGAGGTACAGGGAGTTTGTGTGTGTTGCCACAGGTGGAACTAGGGCTACACWGCAAGGCCCTCTGSTGGGGYTGGGGCCAGGAAGGAAGCTGTGCTCCCTGTGAGAGCACATGGCATCCAGAAAGGGGAGCAGGAAGCAGTCTGAAGCCCACAGAGAGGCACAGATCCTGCAAGGAAGCCAAATTTCTAGKATTGGAATTTCCACCCAGGTTTTCAGCATTTCAAGGATTACTTTGGAGTGCAACCTGGAGACACACTACCAGGTTTGCACCTTCAAGTTTCTTCCAGAAGGGTGTTTTTGCCACAGAAAGCTTAATTGCTAGTTTTCCAAAACTTTTTGAGGGGCTTGTTTTGATTATTTTAAATGCAAAGTTCCAGTATYATGTTTGATTGTAATAGCAGATGCTGCTTTATTCAAAAACGACAGTATAACTGTCATAATTATGGAAGGCACTGCTTCCGATAATTATCTTCTATAAAAAAACACACCATTTATAGTGAACACTGTCACTGATAAATAAATAAAGAAATAAATATCTCAGTGCCAGACAAGAGCCATCCTGCAAAMTGACATCAGTCAAACAGGGTTTGGCCAGCAAGAGACTCAATTTCACACAAGGCCCCTGAGCAGCAAGGTCTGAAGTGTCAGTCTAAAGCCATTTCTCAATGCTGCAGGATTCGCTGAGATGCCAGCTGAGGATATAAAGGGGACATTGCATAATCTTTGGGTCCTTTTCCCTGGGTATTGATACCTGCCTTGACAGAAGCAAGCCTCCAAGATGTCACTGGGGCCCTGCTGTTGAGTAAAGGCAGGCCGGGCACTTCAGAGCTTGCTGATAATCCAGCACTTGCRGGCTATTACTACATTGTTTAATTTTTGAACTGCAGCTCTCTGCAGCTTCCTGCCAGAGAAGGGATCCTCATTACAAGCGTTCAGAGGAATCCATTCCCTGTTTTAATCACTAGGTTTAGGTGGCCAACAATTAAAAGCCTGAATAGATGAGGTACCTCCCCACTCAAGGTACCAGTTCAGGAGAYACCTGAGCTCTTAGTTTTCAAGTACACTGGTAGCAGGAAACCCCATAAGCAGCTGTATAGGACCGCTTAGGACTGTGGTTAGATGGGAGCTTGGTCAGATACTGCTTTAAAACTGCCTCCTGTGAACTTGTCAAGGTGAGATTTAAATTTTGTGCTCAACTTTGGTCAAAAAAAGTTTTGTTGCCAGAGTTATCTACAGGAAGGTAATGCCATGTTAGGGAGTGGGTTTCACTTAGGTTTCGGGGGTTTTGGTTAGGTTTCACAATATTATAAAGGTACTGGAAGTTTGCAGGAAGCTGCCATTTGAAAATCATGCCAATGCCTAATCTGAGGTACAGGGAGTTTGAGTATGTTGCTACAGGTGGAACTAGATCTACACAGCAAGGCCCTCTGCTGGGGCTGGGGCCAGGAAGGAAGCTGTGCTCCCCGTGGGAGCACACAGCTCTCCTGTACCTTAGACGGGTAATCCAGGTGTTTGCTGTGTCTAGATTTCGTTGTCCGTGTTCCAGATATCGCCCACTAAMGCATTGGCAGCCCCTTTAATGGTCCAGGTCGCCAGGGCCAGCTGCTCTTTCAGCTCGTTCACATCCACGCTGTCCTTGTTGGTTTCCAGCTGCTTCAGGTTCTCCAGCAGACTCTGCAGGGTGTGGGAGCCTTTGCCGAAGAAGATGTGRCGGAAGGGAGTGTCTTTTGGTGAGAGGAACGGGGAGAGGAAGTCGTACTCCACCTGAGCAGAGGCATAAATTTAGGGTTATACTCTCACCTCCCAAGTTTGTCTTTCCTTATCTGCCCCAACACAAGCTGCCAACCTGTGATCCCCACTCAGCCCTTTCCCACAGCAGCTCTGCGAGGGCCAGACCCTCTCTTCAGAGCAAGCGCAGAACTTTCACGCTTCCACTCAGCAAGTRGAAGAGACACCAGTCTGCACAATGCCCATGGCCCTTTAGGGRAAGGCCCATCCCAGCCAGCACTCTCCTCCTTTGTGAAGGCAGAAAAACCAGTTGAAGATACCCACCTTCATCATCCTGTCATTCAGGGCTCTGCGGACGATCCTGTTCTCCCTGTCACTGTTTGCGATGTCTCTTCTCAGTGTATCTGCAGCTCGCTGAAAATCTCCACGGGCATAATACAGCCAGTTCAAGGTCAGCCCCAGTTCCTGCAAGGGAGTAGCTGTTAGCAAACCTGATTTTCTTCTTTTGCTGCTCTCTACCAAAAGAAAGTGTTATTTTTTTTTTCCTCGTTTAGCCAAGTAGCAGAACGAGTTCCTGGCAGGCTCTTCTGAGGTCACTCCCTACCCACAGTTTCTCGTAGACTTTCAGCAGAGGTGCAAATGAGATGCAAAGCTGCACTGTGCTGTGAATGATAACCAGAGGAGAAACGGTTCAYATTCACTTCCTCCAGAGCTCACGACAGCCAGATCAGTTAAAGCTGCCTGCTGCAGCTAATCTGCCTGCACTGCTCCATAAGGAACATAAATGCCAGTCACACTTTGCTACCCTTTTATGTCTAAAGGGAGAAGATGTGGCAGTGGATACAGCAGCATGGACAGGGCCTTATTAGCATATGATCATTAGATATTTGGTGAACTCAGAGTCCTTACCTTCACCTTGGAATCGAAAGGCAAAAGCTTCTCCTGGAATACAAGCAATTCCTCACTGTATCTATCAAAGTCCAGGAAGAGCTCATGATCATGGGTCAGCCTSAGAGCTATTTGTCCAGCAAATTCTGCAGCAGTATGCATAAGAGCATACAACTGATCAGTCTTCTGCTTCAAGTTAAACAAAGTATCCTGAGTAGTGTCCAAAAAGGAATATTCATCACCTTCCTGCAAGAAAGAAGGTGTTGAAGTTAGCCAAGAACACTCATCCCCTGCCACAGGTTACTTGTTACCTCCACCACATCCCATCTCCCAGTGCTGCTAAGGAGCGAAGAMTGAAGTGGCAAAACTTCAAAATATTGGGAAGGGAATGGAGCTCCTGCATCTCATCCCTCACAGCTTTCAGCAATCAGCAGGATGTGCTGCCTGGTATTTAGAGCCAAAGACACATAGACCTTTACCCCCTCAGTTCACTGCAGAAGTGCAGGTGGGCAAATTTCATCACCCAGCCTGGCACATGCCTGCACCCTCCAACTCTTCTCATCAGAAAAACTCAAAGCAAGTCTGACACTAACAAAACCCAAGCATACCTAAGAGAGGGAGCTGCCATCATTAAGGCTCCCTGCAGTAACAGCTTGACATCTTTCTATTGCTTTTATAGCTTGATTCATTGACATCTGAGCCTCCAGAAAAACAAGTGACCCCTCTCCCAAAAAACCCACAGATGTTCAGTACTTTGGAACAAAGACTGTAGGGCAGCCTGGTCACAGGAGAGGCCCAGCAACTACTGCCACAGCCACCAGATCCAGAGGCTGCACCTCCTCCCTTGAGAAGCTCCTGCAAGCACAGCGAGCTTGGGACAGCACCTTGTGCTCTGCCATCCTGGAAAGCAGATATCCTTACAACACTCTGYATGGAATGAGCACACCAGGCAAGCACACATTACTTACATTGTAGAAACCAAAGGAAACCACTGGGATTCCCGAGTAGGCCAGAAAAGGGAATGCTGCATTATCCAGATCAAGTGGAACGCTGCAGAAGATAAGCACTGAGTAGTTACCAACTGGTTTGGGCACCCCARGAGAAAAGCTACAAGCTGTACAGTTGAAGCTCTAAGCCAACTGGACTACTCTGCCTAGAMAAGACTGAAGGAATCCCAGCCAAATCCCTGGACCTACTTCTGCCCTCCCTGCCACTGGACTTGGTACAGGGCTGTTTTTTTCCTGCAGCAAGGTGTCTGAGCTGCCTCAGCCGGCTTGGGCCAGCACAGTTAGTGCTGTACTTTTGATGCTTGCCTGACCCCATGTCAGAAGAAGAGCCCACCCCAGAGAGCAGTATGACACACAAACAGAATCCACACAGTTTGCTCCTAAATTTATGGAGATTTCCCAAAGAGATGGATGACAATACTTACACKCTCTTTACCCAGTCAGAGCCAACTCTGCCATACAGGGATCCTGAAGCCTTTGCGGGGTCCTTTACCTGCACAGAGATGACAGTCACTGCACTTGTTCTAACCTCTGCTTGGGCTTCCAGGTSCAYCMTGGAGCTTACRCTGCTGTGCAGATGCCAGTCAGATRTATTTCCCTAACCTTTCTCCACACAGGCACACCTCCCACTAAACTGTGGCATTTTCTGATTCTAGATGCTATGTGCAATTCCCAGAGCCCAGCTGATATCAGAGAGAGCCCTTCAGAATATCCCAGGTTTTCTCTTAAATGGGTGCTTTTCCTCAGAAGGTGTCAGACAGGGAAGTGACCCAGCACAGCTCCATCTGCTTTCAGCTCCTCCTTAAAACCAGTCACCTTGATCAGAACAAGGCCCTTCAACTCACCCTCTTCAAAGTTGACTCCACCAATGARTACAGCAATGGGCTAGCAGAAATCTTCACATCTTTGGATCCTGCAAAAAATGAAAGGGTGTTTGACACACTGGCAGAATCAACCACTATTGCTAGAGCTGCCCATCTCTGATCTACAGCCACAGCTGCCAAAAGATCTTCACTGTACACAGGCCAGTCTACTGGGATTTAGCAGAGCTGATTCCTCATGGCTCAGGCTGCATCAGCCTCCCAGCTTCAATAACAGGACAATAAATGGAGTCATGCCACTCTTCAGGCAAACACCCACCAGCCCCCTCTGGCACAGCCCTCATTCCTAGAGGTTAAGGGATGTCTAGTCCCACCAATTTCAAAAAACTCAAAGAGTAGCAGGTTACCCAGGACTGCAGTATCCAAGTTGATGTAGGTGAAGGCTTTGGCATGCAGAGTGGTGGAGTACCCCTAGAACAAAACAAACATTTTAATAAGATGAGCAGTAGTGCTCCAACACCATCCTGTGGACATTTAATCCACAGGAACAACCACAGAATTCTATTAAACAAACAATACCTCCAGCCACTCAGTAGCACCCACAGCTCCGTACTCTCCTGCACTCCAGCTAGCAAAGATAATGCTGCGCCGTGGTTTGTAGTCATCTGTAAAGACAGAGAGACTGAGATGTCTGCCCTTCCCCCATGGAGATGCAGATTAGCACTGCGGGCCTGGGATGATGAATTGCCCGCTCCTGAGACAGCACTGCTGCAGAGAAATGTGCACACTGCATGGACACTGTACCCTGCCCCCACATGCTGCAGAACTGCGCAGGAGAACAATGCTGTCTGCATTTCCACCCTGTTTTGTTTAGCTGCCTGAGCCCAAAATTAACCCTGGAGACAAGTGTGCTCACACCAAGTACCACCATGYAGTCCCCACTGCTCCAGCTGGTCAGACACTTGAGCATTTTCCCACCTTCAGGCCTGGCTGTCCAGCTGACAGCTCAAATTTAAGATTTGCATCATGTGTTATCCAAGGACACTCTTGCATTTGAGCCATACCAGATACAGGCARGCAGTCCCTCGGAAGTGAGTGCTCACTGCAGACAAGTTGTATTGGACAAGTAACAGCTTCTCAGGAAGCTCTGTCAGATTCCCTACACCTTCTAAAGGACTGCTTTGCAATGGGGCTCTCCAGTGTTAACACACACAGAATTAGACCTGCATCACTTCCCACCCTTGTGCTTTTGTTCACAAACATTTACCGTTTTTCACCATGTCCGAGATCACACGGGCAAGTTCCAGCAAGATGGCAGTRCCAACGCCAGCCTTGGCCACTCCTGGGCCCCAGGAGTCTCTCTGGGCTCCRAGCACAACGTACCGATCTGTAAAGGAGACAAGATCAAGCAGTGAGCTGCAAGCTTCAGGTTGAAAACATCGTTTATCAGAAGGGTAGCTTTCAGCTTCTGTAGTAGGAAGACAGTCTGCAGTCTGATCCCTGAATCTGGCACACTGAGTGCTTTCATCTAACCTTYCCCTGGCAGCACGGTTCAGATTTCTCTTTGATCCTCAGGGGAAGGCCTTCGTTCTGCTGAGAACGTGTATGTCTATCTGGGGACATCTGTCACATTCCAGCGACCACAGAAGAGGAAGGGCTTCTCTCAAGACTGAGCCACAATGCAGCTGCTGTTACCTGGTTCTTCAAATCCCTTGATAACACCAAAGATGTTCAGAATCTTCCTGTCCACCATAACGTTGTTCACGATCAGTTTCACTGTCACCTTGCTGTTGTTGCGCACTGTCACCTTACATCCCATGACACTTTTCCAGTCCCCATGGCATTCTTCTCCATCCATTTTACTGAGAGAAAAAGAAAGATCTTTTGAACTTATTGTCCAGCTCTGTCCTTGTTTAGCTACCAGGTGAAAAAAGCACACCTGCAACTGCAGGTGTTCAGGGCCTGCCTAGGAAAGTATTGCATTTCTGTAAAGCTTGCATTTCTGTACCCCTGATTATGCAGGGAGGGGTAGAATGCAAGGCCAAGAGGAATCCAGCATTAGATTAAGTTCAATCTTTAAGACAAGAGACAGGGACACAAGTGACATYTCTCCAGCTASTTCCAGAATACGCTCCCTGCCACACACAGCAGAGTGCAGCAGAGAGCTCTCTGTCTCACAGCACCTCAACACCACCCTCACTCCTGCAAGAGGCCACAGCAGCTCAGCCTGCAAGACAAAAGRAGCAGTTACCTGAACAGCGTGGCTACTGCTTGACTAGAGATAGTCTGAACAAGAATGCGAGGTAGTCCAGAAGATTCCACTGGTGGGAACTGGGTGTGGTTGAAAGAAGGGAAGCCTGGGGTGTAAGGGTCTCCAGTTCCAAGGTGGGCCTGTGAAAAACAGGAGGAGTCCTCAAGTCTCACCAGAGTCCAGCAGTTTCCCCTACACAAGGGCACTGCTGAGCCAGAGGCCGGGGGGACTGCCCCACACTACAGAACAAACGGGAGCCAGTTGCATACTCACATGTCCAAAGGGGGCAAATGAATCTGTGCCTTTGTAATCTCTGGGGTCCAGGTACATCAGGGCACCAGCTGCTCCTTCCTCTCTGGCATTTGCAACCTGCAGCAAAMAGAAACATTGACTGCACATCTGCATTTCAAGCAAGGGCAGTTCCAGGCAAGTACATGGAGTAATGGTGTGAAGGGTTGCTCTCCTCAGTGCCCAGTGCACAGCAGATTTGAACAGCTACCTGACAGTGACACATACACTGGGCAGCTRAATCCTAGCAGCTCAGCCCTACTCCAGGCAAACTGTGTCTAACAACTGTTTTTGAACAGTCAGGACACACCACTGTGTCTCAGCCCATGATTCCTTCAGCTCATGCTTGYTCCTCAGAGCAGGTTGAAATTCAATGTTATTTGATTTTGATTATGCTCCATCTGTTTTCCCAAGATGAGGTTAGTCTCAAGACAAGCAGCCACTGGAGGCTCATCTTCACACAGAAAATGGAGGCAGAGTGGACCCGACAGGGCCCTGTTTAACACACCTACAGCACAGCTGCCTCCAGTATGCCATTGGTACAAACACTCTTGCAAGGCTAGATGTTAGTCTGAAAAGTGGGGATGGCTTTGCAGAACCAGTGACCACTCTTTTCAGAAGAATTTTGCAGCACTGCCTGTGCCAGGTGCCTGCAGACAGGCTGAGTCCATCTGCAAAGGGTGCTGTGCCCCAGCCTCCACACGAGCACCCCTGAGGGGCAGCTCTGGGTCAGATCTGGAACAGGCTTGCACACAGAAGCACTTGGATCCTTCAGGCTGCTTAGCTATTTGGTTCTATTCCCTACAGAGGGAACAGCAGCATGCAAGGCCACCAGCTGGGCACACAGTGCCACRAAGAAAGATATAGCACTGTGCCTCAGAGAGCAGGAAGCATAGCTTCCCGTTGCCATGTCTGGCCAGGCTTTGGGGCAGATACACTGCTTACCTTCTCAGCAAGGGTTATTTTTCCAGCTCTGAAGATGATTATACTTCCATTCATTGAAACACCCATATTTCGTATCTGCTGAAAATCCTCTTTCCGTCCATAGTTCACATAGATGGGTCTGCCCTGAAACAGGAACACGGRTTATGAATGCAGCAGTCCTATGTCAGTAAGACACCTGGAACAGCCTACAGAGTCACTGTAACAGTGACTCCTGTTAACAGCAGGGAGCTGAAGCTCAGCAGTGTAAACTGATCCCATGCACCRTGCCTGTTGGAGCAGTATTTCTGCCAAGTTTTCTGTCTGGATCCCAGCAAAGTTTAAAGTTACTCCTGCATGTTGCTGCTATAATAATACTGTGTGGGCCCACTCCTCTCCCCACTCCCACCACCCGCAGCTCTCTTTACTGGGAAGGGCTATTATAACACTCCATATCTTAAAGGGACTTATTTTAGACATTTTTTTAAGTGTGCAGACCCATTTCCAGGATCCTCCTGGCGTCACTTACAGTAACTGTGCCGCTCTTGCTGTATGCCACATAGGCATCAGGACTTTCCAGTAGCTTTTCTGCAGCATCTTCTACAATGAACACCTGGTTGTTGCTACTGTTAAATGCAGAGACAGTGTTATGCTCTTTCACACAGGAATTCAATTAACTCAGTATTCTGAGTCAGTATTCTGACTGTATTCAGTCTGTGCTCTAACAATTCTGATCAACTCAACAGAGCTGAAATAGGCAGATTCATCCCAGCACTTCCATGCAAGAATCTGTGCAATTGGTCAGAGATAGTAATGAAGGATGATTTATAAGACAAATAGCAGAAAGAATGTCTGCTTCCAAGTCTCTCAGTCATCTCCATAAGAGAAGCTAAGCAAATTCATTTCCCCTGACAAAGAGGGGCAAGTGAGACACGAGGGTATGAGCTKTCAGATGACAAATGCCTGTTGATACCCTCCTGAGCTACTGGAGAAGCCACTGCCAACTGTGCAGCCCTGTCTGGGTGACGAGACAGAATTGCCAGTGCTAGCAGTTTTAGACACAAGGAATCTGCCCTTCTGCCGAGTTTTCACTCAAGTKTGTTTTCTCTTTACTTCCTAAGCATACCTGGAGGAAACAGCTGCCCTAGGAAACATCCAGAATGCTGCTACCAGACCCTCTGGATTTAGAAAGCCTGAGAAGAGGCAGGAGCAGTTATTGCTTGGCACAACTGAGGCCATCTTTGGAGAGTGGTACCTGGCTTACAATTTTCCCATCACTTTAAGCAGAAATCACATGTTTGCTCAAGACTACAGGTATCCATGCTAAATGGAAGAGACGGGTATCTCTTCATTAACATACCTGCCTTTATCCTGCAGCCTAATGTAGTGCTCATCATTCCACACATCATCCAAGCGGAAATTGGTGAACTGGTCATGAATGTAGATGGCAGTGCTCTCATCTTCAACCTTGCCAGCTTCAAAAGAATTTTTACCTTCTCTTTGCCTGTAGGGAACAGATATACATACAGCTTAGGCTACAGCACCAGGATGCACTGCAGCCTGCAAAGCCATTTAAACCTGTGTGTGACACACCACCTACATCACCTGTTAAGACTTTTGTTCTCCAAAGGAGTTCAAGTTCTGCTCACAGGCTGTGCCTCTCTCAAAGCTCTATCTAAACTTTCTGGAACTGTTACCTCAGGTTGGTCTCAAGACGTGAATCCACCAGTTTAGCTGAAAACATATTTCGGAGTTCAGGCCAGTACAAGACACGTGGTCCAGRAACCTCTTCTTCCTCAGTTCCATCATCCGATAAGTAAGATGCAGTAGGAGTCATCTCGCAGTTGCCACTTCCATCCAGACACCTGTTAACCCTCTGCATTCGTCCACGATAACTCAAGTAGCCGATCAGAAACCCTGTGGACAGAACAGGATTTCTTTGTGCTGCAGAAAGATGACTGAACCAGCCCCCCACTACACAGCTTCAGGGTTAAGATGCATCTCTGCTCTCACAACGTTTTTGACAAGCTGGCTTACCCAAGGACAGATAGAAATATGCAGCCTGACATTTTGCTTGAGSTGGCATGTTTTAAGGGGCACTGTAAATCTGATCTTGCGCTTGGCAGAGTCCCTCCAGCACTACTTAGGAAGGAGAATGCTCACTTTAGGCCAATGGCAGTATTAAAACCCTTAAGAAACAAGGACCAAAGGCTTTACTTATCTCTTGACCCACACGTCTACAGAGGTGTTAGGAGTTAATGGAGGGAAAACCAAAACTTCCATGTGGACCAGTTTTSCCTTTAGCTAAGTCACAGTTCCAATGCAAAACTCCACAATTTTTTGTGCCAATRCTGTACCGTAAGTCTGAGCTAGACATACTTAGTGACAAGAGGCTACAGCCTGGATCCCAGTTGTTGAATTATCTCCCAAAACAATACAGATTCAAATTAACCACCTTGGATTACATTCAATACTGGAGTCCCACCCTTCCTTACCAATCAAAAGGAGAAGGACAGCTGCCATGACTATGAAGCAGAGGTTCTTTCCATTCCTYCGAGGAGGAGGCATGCTGGCATGCAGGTGCTCTGGTCTCCCAATTTCCCCTCCTTCCTCATCATCAGCAGCCAGCTTCATCTCCACGTGGCTGTTGTCTCCATCCACTTGCCGGGCAATGCTGAAGCGTGTGTATGATGTTGGCTCACCACCAAACTGTGTGGAAAGGCATTCATGTGAYGAAGAGCTGCCCACACCAGCCTGCAGTCCTTGCAGGCAGCTGCACCTGTGCTCCAACCCAAGCACTGCCTGTCCACCTGCAGCTGCTCCAGCACAGCGAGCATTTGGTCTGTTAGTTTAAAGYTGGATGCTTCAAACACAGTTAAGACTCAGACCCACTCAGGGTCTCCAGAGGCTATTTAGATTCCATTTACCCTGCACAAGCTTGGAGCCACTCTGATCAGAGTCTAGCCTGAAGACTGTTACAGATATGAAGCAGCCAACGGCATTGGCATTTCCCACGTGACCCTGTGGCTGAGGCTGATTGAAGCAGAAACTCCTGGTCTTAATCAGCAGAACACAGATCTTGAATGTGTATATCCGCACTTTGATGAAGAGAGAGGAAAGGCAAGGCAACCGTCCATAGCTGTGCCTTTGAGCTACATCCACTTTGATGTAAATACTCTCATCCAGCACCCGGATAATTTTGTATTMAACTGCCTAAGGCTACCCTCAAATTACACTACTGGTAGTATTACAAAGCAGCTAGGCTGAAGAGACATGACCCACAGGCATTGTGCTGCCTCAGCTAACATGAAAGCTGAGGCTACAACTCCTGCACCACCAACAACTGGCACCATTTGACAGGTTTTTACCAGCGCCCAAGCAGAGCTTCCAGTCTGGAGCCCACTTTTCTGAACAGGTGCAAGGCACGGCACAGCCCAGCCCCCACAGCACAGCAGCCCGTGCACAAGGCAGCTGCTCAGATTAACTCAATTCCAGGCATAGCCAGGCACTGGCTGAACCACTCAGCTTCCATTAGAGACGCTGAAATTGCCTGCAGCCATGGCTGTGCKGGGGAGTGGAGTGACACTCGCTAAAGGGCCAAAGGAACAGCTTTTGGAGTAGCACTCCTGCAGCTCTCTCCTCTGAACTGGAGATGCAGCTGGTGATAAACACACAAGCCCTGTTAGAAGCTCAGTGGCTCATCCACAGCTCCCAGGTCACTCTCAAACTACATGTCAGAGCTAGAAGTCAAGAGACCAGATATCTGCTTGTTTGGGCAGAAGAAACCAGTGTCATTTCAGACGTGCAGTTCCACTCCGGCCCACGCTACCCACAATGAAGTGGCTGCCTGCTCACATTTCGGAAAGGGCAACACCGCAGTCTGTGCTAACRCTCTCCCTGCTCACCTGCTCCAAAGCTTGGCTTCCTTCACTCTTGAGGCATGTCTTCACACAGAGGACATGCCCCAATCCCACACACCCTCCATTCTTGTTCAGAGACCAAACCACTCCACTCGCAGTCCTAGCCTCAGGTCATTTCACAATCTCCAAGACCGGCAGGCTTGGCTGAACAAGTTCAGAAGTACCATCTCCTTCATATTTGTTTCAAACACAGGTTGCTTTCAAAAGCTAGACTTGTGGTTGAATTCCAACTCCCCAAGTAACAATAGAACACATGGTGATTGTCCCAGCAGGCATTTGAAAGGCTTCCTCAGCAGCACTTCCTCTGTAACTCTGTTCAAGGCCCGCCCTCCCTTTCTTACAGGCTTTCTGAGAGACCCAATACATGATAGCAGTTTATGATAACCCCACCAGCACTGAACTGCTTGAGCCACTTCCTCATCATGGCCAGCTACTTGCAGTGACATTTGGCTCACCACCCACAGTGCAGCACCTAACTCTACTTTAGATTAATCATATTCTCSAATACTGACACATAGCGGTATTTTTTTGGAATAAATAGGGCTCACTACGATCAAGTATCACTCATATTATTCCAGCAACACATCAACAGGATAGCTAGACTCAATTCTGCAACCCCTGTATGTTCAAATAGATAACGAGCTACATGGAAAAACAGAAAAAGARTATTATACAACCTCATACACAGAAGTTATTGAACTTTTCTTCTGCAGTATCATCAGCCCACCAAGAGACAAACAGCATTGGGGTACTATGTCTTACCAAGTTAGAGATTGCTGCTCTGGCATGGTCCATTTCCTTCTGGACGAGTGCAAACCAACTTCACCAAAGCCCTAGAAGTTCAGAATATGACAAGCCAAGTCAGGTTGTTGCCCTGTCATTACGTTACCCATCTGAAGTCAGTCCCTACCACTAGTGCACTGTTTGCCCATCGATTTTCTGTGCATGTTTCTACATAAGTCACTATATTAGTGAGCCTACATCRACCTTGAATGCAACCTAGAAGTTCCCACGGCTATTATTAAGCTCCGCTGAACATATCAGCTCTTTCTGTTGAACTCWGGGCATAGTGGCAGGTGGATAAATGAGGAAAGAGTCTCCAATGGTTAAGTTCAGCCAAGGGTCTTATWAATGGCAGGGTCATTTCCACTCAGGGAGTGCTGGCAAAAAGCATTTACTCAACTGTGGCAATGGGTATCTAAGGTTCCTGGGGTCTGTCTCAATGACAGGAAAAGAGAAGTGGCATGAGGCTGAAAAGCAAAGCAGCACAAACTTCAACCCCGACAAAACACTTCTAATACAAACATCCCCCTAGACGTCTATGCTCTCTAGCACTTTATGAAGGCAATTTCCATTTTGAAAAGTCCCCGAAAATTACTAAGAGCATCTTTCCAAAATCATTTCAGCAACTTTTAAAATTCTAACTTCTCTGTAAACAGCAAACATAACTCAAAGGTAAATTRTAACTGATTTACTTCTCCATTTCTTCCTGAATAAGGTTTGTAATTTAGTTAGTGACTAGACAGGTGTTGGTTGAGGTTGGGAGCAAGCAACCTGAGCACGCCCTGAAGCAGCGCTGCTAAGAAGTGGCTCTTCAGGTGCACGTGTATTAGCTCAACACCTGGAARCTCTGCAGATCAAAGGTTAGTACTGGCCATTGCTCACTTCACCTTTTGTTTAAGGCAAAACCACATGGAAATGAAACCCCGACACATTAGAGAAGCCTTTCTCAAGCGACAACCTGAGGCCGCAGGCTCCCACCGGGACACGAGCRGACTAAGCTATGGAAGGTCTAGTAAAAGCAAAGCCGGGAGGACGCAGGGGAGCACAAAGGGCCTGCGGACATCGCACCTGGCAGGGATGCTGGCCGGGGGCGCGATGCCTCCCCGAGYCCCTCCGGCCAGGCCTCAATCTTTCAGAAAAAAAAAAGGCAAGGAGGAAAAAAAAAGAGGGAACGCGTGTGAGCAGCCGGCCCGCGAGGCTGGGCGGCCCCGATAATCGCGAGCAGGGCCCGGCTGCGGACCGCGAGATAAGCACGGGCGATAGGCCGGCGGCCGCGGGCACGTCCCGGTGCCGGGCCCCGTGCCCGCCGTGGGAGACGTGCGGGGCCGCGGCGGCGGCGGGGCCGCGCTCCATCAAGGTCAGCGGGCACTGCCGCATGCGACGCGGCCGCGTGCTGCCACAGGGCTCCTGCGGCTGCCGTGCTCCTCCAGCGCAGCTCCTGCGCCGCCTCCCTCCCTCCCTCCGTCCGTCCTTCCGTCCCTCCCTCTCGCAGCCCGGCCTTCCCCTCCCGCCCGTGCCGCGGCCCCGCGCCCGCTCACCCGGAGCCGTTCCGCCGCCGCGCCAGGCTCCGCTGCAGGGCCGCTGGCCTCTGCGCCTTTCGCAGCTCCCTCACGGCCGGCACAGCCTCCGGGCCCCGCCTCCGCCGTGTCCCCGCCTCTGTCGCACGCACCAGGCTCCGCTGGGCCCGCCTCTGCTTCACCCGCCTCTGCTTCACCCGCCTCTGCTCCACCGCTGTTGCGGGTCCGGCTCCCGGCCGTGTGTCTGCTCTGTGCCCCACCTGGCCCTGCTGCGGGGAGGAAGCACAGAATCGTAGGAGAGACCTCCAGGATCAYCCAGTGCAACCATCAACCCGGCACCACCAGTGTAACCCCTGAACCGTGTTACCCAGCAGCAGATGCAGGCACCTCTTAAACACCTCCGGGGATGGTGATTCCATCACCTCTCTTGGCATCCTATTCCAGTGGTGCCTCACCGCTCTAACAGTGAAAAAACAWTTCTAATACCTAATGTGAATCTTCCATCTCATCTGAAGGCGATTTCCTCTAGTCCTCTCACTGTAGGCAKGGTAGATGAGACTGGTCCYYAGCTCACTACAACCTCYTTCCTTCATAAAGAATGAAGCCACATGCTTTATAAATTGCCTTTGTATGCCCTTGGTATAGTGGAGGAGCTGCGTGTGTTTCACTGGGTGCACACCACTGAGTCCCAGTTTCCCCACAGGGAGGGCTGGAAGCGGGGCAGGGAGATGAGGTTAACACCTCATTGTGGGAAGACATGCTTGTACTGCAGTACAAGAAGGAACGGGTCACGGATTCAGCATTCCCACTCTCAGCATTTTGTGGGATGAGGGCAGGAAAAATGTTTTCCTCCCTGGGTGGTGCAAACCAGACACAGGACTTTCTCTGGTTTGGGAAGCTCTCAGCCTCCTCAGGTCCTAGCAAGTCACACATGCTTAGGGCTGCCTTTTTAGATCTGAATCGGCAGAGCCACCCAAAGTGCCTTTCCTTTGTGTTAGACTGCACAGATTGCTATTTTATTTACACCATGGGAAGCTTGGCAGGTGTTACATGTTCCAGCCCCTGTACAGCACACAAGAAATATGTACAGCCCACATCAGTCTATCGGATGCCTGTGAGCCAGCAAGAGAGAAGGTCAGTGCTTCCAGCCTCAGTCCTTTAGCTCAGGGCATCCCTCAAAAGCATATCAGAACCAGGGAACACTTCAAGGTCTATGTGTGCGCATATTCTGCAGTGCTGTGCTCATTTGTCCCTTGCTCATTAGAAAAATAAATCAGTAGCTCWGGATTATTGCCTCAAATCCTCTCCCAGGAAAGATGGGTGGGAGCAGAAAGTTTGTAGTTTGGCAGAACACATGATTGCAAAGAGGATTATGTTTGGTGAAAAGCAATACATTCCTGCGCTGATAAAGGGGGGATTAACTAGACCTGAAATTCGTTGTGGTTGTCTGGAGACAAGCGTGTAAAGCGTCTCTCAGGCAAGATGTGCTGGTGGATCTACCAATTCTGTTTATCAGAGGAGGTCTGAGCCAGGCTCCAGTGCCCAGGTTCTCTCTTCTCCAGATTAATCCCTCACCAGCTGTGGTGATGCCAGTCATGGGAGGGAAAATGGTTGTCACTCAGCATGTGACAGACCCGTGGGACATGGTGCTGATGGGTGYCTTGAAGGAATCCCGAGGTGTAAGAGGGTTCAGAAAGAGTTTAGAACAGTCATGCAGCCTGGATCCTCTGATCTTTCTCACCACAGCGGTCCGGGTGCAGCTTGCTGCTCAGGAAAATGTAACCTGGGGAAAGCAATCCCAGCTCTGTCCTGGTTTTTTTTTTTTTTTGTGTTCCTCTGGGCTGCCCTCACCAAGCGCTCACCTTCCGGCAGCGGCTTTACCTGTGCACAGCGTGCCAGGTTTGCGATTCCACACGAGGTGCCGCCAAAGGAGGGACACCTGCAGGACAGCTCAGACTCGGCACGTTCCCTGGAGCAATGCAAGCAAGGAAGGCGGATTTATTCCTCCCCGTGGCCKCCGTTTGCTGCGCCTCCCTTCCGGCTATAGCAGGGGAGGTGCCGCGCCGTGCCGTGCCGTGCCAGCCCCGACCTGCCCTGGCACAGACTCGCTGCAGGTGTTTTCCGTTCCCACTCACAACGTGCGTGTGCTGAGCAGTCAGTTCCCCATTTCTACACGTGCCAGGGGAAAGAGAAGAAAGCTGACATTCTAGAAACTCAGATGGTTTTTGCACTTCAGCTGGTGTTGGCAATGAAATAACTTAAAATGAGGGCTGCTCAAAGGCAATGTGGTACCTGTGAGCATTCCTAACTGGGAATTGGCTGGCTTTTGGTGCTTGGTGGCTGGTGCCACCTCACTCAAGGACACCTGTTCGTCACACTGCAGTGCCTGTACTGCTGGCAGTACTGAGCTCAGGTGCTCAGGCTGCCCAGCTCAGCCAAAAAATCTTTGCAAGGAGCAGAGATAGCAAAAACTGGGAAAKGGATGAAGAGAAAAGAGGATGTAGGATTGGTAAATGCAGACTTCTGATCTGCCTTCCCAGCRTCAGGGTGTTCCTCCTCATTGTGGCTTGGCCATTTTTAGAGATGTCCTTGTGTCCTCTGAACTCCTGGGGGGCTTATGAGTCCTCTGACTCAACTCAAATGACTCTGCATTGTTTTGTCCAGTATCTCATGATGTGACAATGTCCTTCCTCTGGGATTAATACTGAGAACATGAGATCAAAATGTGGGAAGGAAAACATAGTTTCACTTCAGTTTTGCAGCATGGCTGATCCTCCTGTGACCAGTTGTCTGCCCCATGTTGAGGCCGTTAAAAGCAGCTAAAATACATGCAGCTCTAAGATTAGCTCAGTCRGTTAGAGCATGGTGCTAGTAAAGCCAAGGGTGTTGGTCTGATCTCTCATGGGCCATTCACTTAAGAGTTGGATTTGGTGATCCTTGTTTGTCCCTCCCAACTCAGAATATTCTCCGAAAAKCTGATTTGCCAGCAGCTTATCAAGAACAATGTTGTGTGGTGACTTAAACTCTTCTATGGAAAGAAATACTGTGGCTAACATGACTCTTCAGTCTGGAAGGGATGGAAAAGCCAAGAGTCAGATGCTGGAGTGTGGTGCTAAATTGGATGTGCTGCTGGGCTGAGGCCATGGGTTGTGGGATGTGCAGTGGCCCATGAGGTGGGAGGTGATTATAGGGCTCCCACTGGCAGTGCACTCTGTGAAACAGGGGCTGTGGGGCACTCCAGACACCCCAGGGTACAGGGCCAGGCAGGCAACAGGCATGTGGGGACAAAAGAAAGACTTTGATCTCCTGCTCTGAATGTCAACTGCTTCCTCTGGATCCCAGCCACTCAGAGGAGGGGCAGTGCCAGCTCCTGCCTTCCTGGGARCAGATTTGAGGGATACACACTGTCTGTGCTCTCTGCTCAACTCGCGGGTTGCACTGGGGTGCAGTCAGCTATTACAGGTCGCAAAAAGCTGTGAAATCTAACATTTTCAATGTCAGAATCATCGCAACCCCTTTAC